AGTCTTTACCTACATTGGTCAGAATTTACTGAAAGGTTTCAGCAGGGCAACCTTATTGTCTGGAGCACTCACCTATACAAGTGGCCTCAGAGGATTCTGAAGGGGTTCTGAAGTGCTTCCGGGTATCATTTTGTCCAGCACTTAAAATGTACCAGATTTGAAACTCATGGCAAGTCATTTTTCATTTGACTGCGCAAGTTTTAATAAGGTTTGCTACGGTGAGGCTGGACCTGTAGGATTTGCTGGCCAAACCTAAGTGAGAAAGACATAGATGTCTCATAAGTCAGCGTTGCTTTGCTCCGTAAACAAACTCCCGGGTAGAGTTCTCACTTTGTTCTGTGTTTTATTGAGCCAGCTTAGATTTATTTAAACTACTAAATTAAAAAATTAAATATTTTACTGAGAGAAAATTCCAGGCACATTATTATTTGTATTTTCTACAGCACAATACCAAAATGCCACCACTTAGGAAATATCAAAATCCCATAATTTGATGAAACTTAATGTATGATTCTTGGAGTCAAACAATCTGACGATTAATTTTCTGAGTAGGCTTGAAATACGAACCATGAGTCAGGCTGACAAAGCCTTTTCTGCCTAGGTGTGTCCAGAGGATAGGACTGAAGCTAACTGGACCTTCCAGCCAGTATTCTGGAATATTTTCCAGTGAGATTGCTAAGGTTCTCCAGAGATTACCAATTCAAGTGACTTTAAGGACCATGTAGTAGTATAAAGGGACAAAAGTATGGTAGAGTGTGGCAGGGACCAGTATGAATCAGAGAGCACCTTCTGCTAAAAACCAAAAAACCCTTATACTGTATAATCTATAAAAATGTATTTATGGGCTGAATAAGTTCCATGGGCTGACAGTGATTCTTGGCCTTGGAAGTGAAGGAAGAGTTAAGTAGCAGTAGCTAGAATGATCCTAGAAAATAGCAGAATTCTACTATCTCATACGATCTGAGTACAGAGTGGTGAGCTTATCGACATGACTTATGATGCACGATGACAATCTATTTCACAAACAACATGCAGATTTGCCAATTTGATGAAAGTATCAGAAAAAGAAATGCATTTGTTATCCAAATTAAGAGTGATCGTATATACCAGGGTGTTTTCCAAGAAGACTGTCATGTGGTAGGAGGGACAGGCGGTGCTTCTGGAGCACCACTTTGATCCAAGAAAGTCAAAGAAGATTTTTTCTGTTTCACTGCACAAGTACTAATAGGCAGTTTGCTATGGCTGGCTTAGCCTGCAGAATTTTCTGGCCAAGTCAAAATGCTGCAACTTAAAACTTAAAACAAAAGATGACTAAAAAAACTGACTGCAAGGTTGAAATTCAGTCATCCCATGGAAAATTAGAGGAAGATAGGGTTATCTCACTTGCAAGCATGGCTAGGAAGCTGCTACAGAAAACAGATTGTGAAGAGAGACAAGGTTGCTATTCAAAGGTAATTTCCTTTTGGAAATGGTGTTAAATTAGGGTAAATTCCCATCATCAGTAATGGCGAATGTGCATGTCTTCCTAAACACAGAGAAAGGCATGATCCATGCATTCTGGTTTAAGATTGTTCCTAAACTTTCTTTGTCTAAGAATTTCAGAGCAGAGGAAAAGCCTTTTGATGTCTCTTTCCTGGCCTCAAGACCAATCCCACAGTGCATGGCTAGGTCACATCCAGACAGACACTCAGTTTCACCCAGAGAAGCTGTGGTTCCTGGAAGGACACTAATATTACTGGTGCTGATGGGGCCTTTGCTATAGAGAACAAAGCACTCAGCTGGCTACTGCATATATAAAGGCATTACTTAGGCAGCTGTTGCTTTACAGATAATGGGACTGAACCTCAGAGAAGATGGGTACTTTGTCCAAGGTGACATGACAGGAATAAGTGACAGGCTCAGGATCTAAAGTCCATCTTCTTTTTAGAATACGGATATAAATTTGTGAAGTGGAGATGTCTGAGAGGCAAATGGGCTTGCGGGAGGGAATGGCTGGAGTGCATAGGAATTACCGGGTTGCATTTGGGAAGACACAGACTGAGAAGAACACTGGAAAAAGAACATAAGAGGGCTTCTGAGAGAAGAGAGGTGTTTCTGATTACAAAGGGTATGATGCCATCTGACCTATTTGTGATTTGAAATCAACCAATGACCAATATTTGTGGCTCAGATACTGGTGTCTTTTGAGAGTTTTCGGTTACAAAGGTAGAGTAGGTAAATAGTGTCCTCCAAAAGAGGTATCGAGCCCTGACTTCTGGGACTTCAGAATATGATCTTATTTGGGATAAGGACTTTTGCAGATGTAGTAAAGGTATGAGATCATCCTAGGTCCAAGTGGGCCCTCAAACCCAGTGATGGGATGGTGTCGTTATGAGGGACAGAACAGAAAACAGAGACGCAGGAAAGCCACATGAAGAAGAAGGCAGATAATGGAGTGATGAGTCATAATCCAACAAACCCCAAGGGTTGCCAGTGAGACCTCCTTTAGAACCCACAGAAGGAAGTAACTCCACTGACACCTTGAATTCAGACTGCTGGCTTCCAGAACTATGAGAGAACGAATTTCTGTGGGTTTAAGCCATCAAACTCATGGTAATGTGCTACAGTAGCTCTAGGCACTTAATATTGAATATCTGTCAAATTTATTTCAGTGCATATGCTTCCTGTAGCACTCAGGTTTCTCTCAGGGGACCATGATGTATCTGGAGAGAAACAATTTGATAAGGAGAAACTGAACTGGATATTGTAGTTTGGACACTAAAATCGTATCCCTTCATGTGGCCGCTGAGGTGGTGGTTTTCATGTGCTTTCTGGGAAATATTTAAAATGGTCCTTAAAAAACAGGCCATTCATTTGAATTCATCATTTCCTCATCTTAGCTCTTAAGTCATGCTGTGACTCGACCTTAAAAAATTGGTTCAATGTCAATTTTGGGGGCGATGCACCAAGACCCTGACACCAGCTGCTTTCTTCAGCTGCTGGCCGGAGAGAGTAAGTGGTCTGACTTTGGGAAGAGAGGGATTCTTCCAAGGAGAGGGATTCAGCCTGAGGAGCAGGTTTCACTGCTACTTCACCTCTGCAGACTGGTCTTTTGGTGTGGGAGAGCTCATGGTGGCCCAGTGACAGTCTTAATTCTGTCAACTTGATTGGCTCAAGAGCCACCCAGCCCAGGGAACAGTAAGGCACATTTCTGGGTGTGTCTGTGTGGGCTTAGGAGTGTGACTTGGTATTCACATCTGGTCTCTGTCCCCTTCCCTCTGTTCTCCTTTAATGCTTCACTGCCACCATGACTGAGCATTGTTGCTCTCCCATGCTCTTCCAGGCAATGTCTCTGCCCTGGAGCGGGGGACCAAATCCCCGGCATCTATGCGTCAAACTAAAGTTCCTCTCCTTTACATTGTGGGTGTCAGACATTGTGTCCCTGCAACAGGAAAGTTGACTGGTGTCATCCTCAGAATGGATTAATGATCTGGCATCAAGATGCTCTGGCATGGAATCATGATGCAATGTCTCTGTGGACACCCTCAGCAAGCCTGTTATGGAAACCAACCCCCAGGGTCCTTAAAGGAGGCTCTGAGATACACCTTTAGTCATGCTACAGATTCAAAACACACATCATGTGTCTGTAATGAGAACTGAGCCACTTTTTCCAGCAGATAGGAATACTGGGCCTGAACTGTAGTAACAGGTTCTCAAGGGCTGGAGGCAATTGAATGCAATTCATCAGTATGAACAGACATGAAAATGAAACACGACCGCCATATTGGAGGTTCTGGGCTGTACCCTATCCAAAATCATCGTTCTATTTCCTGTTTCACTCTGTTCTCATGGGGTTTTAGTGAGGTGTTAACCTACAGCATTCCTCCTTCTAAAAGTAGCTACTGTTTTTGTGAAGGAAGAGGAGAGATGGTGAAGGAAAACTGCTGTTTTCTCTTTATTAATGAATGCTCAAAAATATCCTTATTTTCTCATTCACTCAAGTCTTTCAGCAACTCTTCTTGGGTTGTGTCATTCAGATATTAGAGAGACAGCAGTGGTTAAACAGTTTCTCCTCATGGAGTAGGTGGTATGCTCAGGGGAGACTGATAAAACCAGCGACTAAATGTGAACTCAGGCAGGTAGGGATAAGGGCTACGAGGAAAATCCATAAAGGCTAGTGGACCGAAGGCACTGCTTGGCATACAAGTCAGCTCAGGCTGCTATAACAAATACCAAAGACAATACTACATGGCTTGAACAAACAGCAGAAATGCAATTTTCTCATGGTTCTGGAAGCTGGATGTCCAGTCAGAACACTGTCTGATTTGGCTCCCAGTTAGGGCTTTCTTTTTAGTTTACAGACAGATGCTTTCTTGCTGTGTCTTCAAAATATACTCACAGTGAGGAGTGGGGCTCTGACATTAATTTTGGAGAAACACAAATTATTCCACTGTGGCAGTATAAGGGAGTTTGCTATTTTGGGAAGGATGGTCAAGACAGCTTCCTTGATGTTTGATCTGAGCGGTGAAAGAATTGAAGGGAGGAACTCTGGGAAACTGGAGAAAGCTTTCAGGCAGACAAAAAACCAGACAAAGTTCCTGAGATAAAGATGTGCCTGAGGAATCTGAAAGTCACCAGGCCAGTGGGTCTGGAACACGAGAGGCAAGGAGCAAGACTAAAGGCTGGATTCAGGAGAGGGTCTGGGTTGACAAAGCTGTCTGGTCCTCTGGAGATGGCTGTAAGGTCCTCAGAGGAGGCTTGGCACGTGTCTCAGTTACTCTTATCCGGTTGCTGGGACAAATACCCGACACTCAAAATGAGGGAAGGAAAGGTTTATTTAGTTCACAGTTATTGGAGGTTTCAAGACACTGCCCCCACTCTACAGGGTCTGGAAGAGAGGCTGGGGTGCTGTCGTGTCCAGGACGACCTTTTCCACATCCTGAGGAAACAAAGGCTACCTAGTTTAGCAGTTCGCGTCCCTCTGTCCCGCCCCTCTGCCCCTCCCCTCAAGCCACTCATTGCTCCTCCAGCCGTGCTGCCCCATAACTTAGGCATTGGAGGGACAGCTAGATACAAACCATAACAGCACACAAGGTGTGATCTGAATGTAGGAGAATTTGTTGGCTTCTGGGCAGGGGACAAGGGCAGAAGTGCAGGTTTGTTGTCATGTGAGTGTCCGGAGGTGACTCCCAACAGTCCTTCCCCAAATGTATATCTCTTCTCAAAGGAAGAGACAGGGCTTGTTTTCTCTCTCCTGAATCTGACTGTTCTCATGATGAATCCAACCCATAGCACCGACTCTCAGCTTCAGTGATAAGCGTGGCGGTCAGCGCTGCCCTTCCCGGGCGCCTCACAGACCCTGTTCGCAGGCGGAGGCTTTGGCCTCCAGTCTGGAAATGCAGCTCCCAGAAGAAGAGCAGGTTTGTCCAGCGCTCTAGACCCTGTAAACAGCAGAGTAGTAAGAATAGCTGCGGCGGGATTCTTGGCTGTGCTTTTGCACTGTGGAGAAAAATTTGAGCTGCTTCTTAAAACTCTTACTTTTTTCTTTTTTTATGTTTTGTTTTAAATAAATGTCTCACTTTATTTTTTTATTTTTCTGTATTTTAGGGACGGTTCTATAGGGTGTAAGGGATCTCACTGTTAGATCGGACTCATAGTGATTCTCCTGCTTACAGCCTCCCAAATTCTGGGATTAGTTGCGCGCGTGCACCACCACGCCCAGTCTCAATTGCCCTCTTGGCGCGCCCCGGGGGCGGGGCCGGCATTGCAGGCCCGGGGATCGAAAGCCCCGCCCCTGCACCTACTTGCAGGCGCTTTATTTATTTATTTATTTATTTAGTGTGTGTGGCCAGCTCAGCCCACCAGGGGGCGGGCTGGCTGGCATGTGGTGCTGGGGGATTGAACCGTGGGTCCCTGTGCTTTGCTCAGTTTAGCTTGTTCTAAGTAGGTGCTTTAGACCACTGAGCCATCTCACCAGCCCCTTGCAGGCACTTTAATCCGCTGAACTATTTGGCTGGTCTTTATCTCACTTTTTAAAAAGAAATATCAGTCACATTGTGTAATCCTAGCTAAGCATGAGAATTATGAAATTTCTATTTTGTCACCTCTGACTCCTAGACACACACTGCTCGAAGATGCAATGACATTTTCGCGAGCTTATTTTGCCTCGTGGCTTACTATGTGCATGCCAAGAGACCTTGCTCTGCCTCTGGTTCGTCCAATTGTTTAAGGCGCCCTTGATTATGTTACTTAGAGTTGTAGACTGCTGCCTCTGGGGAAAGCAGGGACCTCCGTGAAAAATTGAATTAGTTACTTCATTTTAAAGGCTGTCCAGACATGAATAGGGAATTACTAACCCAGTGTTGCATTTCTACTAATATATGTCACATGAAAGTAGAAAATAATGGGTTTTACATTAAGGATGTCTAAGAGTCCAAGATTTAATTACGTGTTCACGTCAAACTTTCTTCTGCTCATTCTAAGAATGGCTTCAGTGACAGTCTCCTCTCCTCTTCATCTTTGAGACAAGATTGATAAATGTCAACTCTCATCGTTAGACAAATGGTACGTTTTAGGTGGGAGAGTGAGGACAGGCAGCACTAATCTTTCCCATTTCTAGGCAAAATGAATACTGCAAGGAACATGGGTTTTCTCTGTTTCTCAAAAAATCCACCCTCCTTCTACCCTCAATGTCTTTGCATGCACCGTGTCCTTGGCTTGTCACGGTCTTTTCATAGGTCTCCACAGGGCTTGTTGATTCCCACCATTCTAGTGGATTCTCTTCCTCCCAGAGGCAACCCTTGACCTTCACATCTGAAGTAGTTCCCCATTCCTGTGTATGATGTGGCCCTATTTTATTTTCTTCATAATGCTTATAACTGTCTGAAATTACTTCATTATATATTTCAGGTCATCTGAGACCTTTTATATTATCTGAAATTTAGGATCAGAGTTGAGGATAAATAGTTTGTTACATACCTGTAAATAGCTACAAAAAATCAGAGCAGATCTATGTCCCTGGACCTAGCTGAATGGCTACAGGTTAGTAGTTGCCCTCAAAACATAGAGGAAGGAGATGGGGCTTCTTGGAAGAAAGAAAGGGTCGGGGGGTCGGAAGTCAGCTTTGCATATTGGCGGTGCTTGTTTCCTCCATCCCTACTATCATCTGGCCTACTAGATGACCCTGTGCTTCCAAAGGGATTTTTTCCTAGAGTTCAGCCATTTTTCCTGAGCAGAGGATGTCCTCTGTGTGCTGGAGAGATGACTGACCAAACTGCAGAATGGACAGGTTTGCACTGGTACAGCTTTCAGTGGAGTGGAGGGTGCTGAGAGGTTAGGGTTAGGGTTAGGATAAGAGCTTCCTATGTGTCCCAAAGGGCCTGGAACCTCACCTACTGCCAAGAGTGGTGCTGCCCTTTCAGCTGAATAGTCTGAGGGCAAGAAGCTTCATGGCGTAGATGAGGCTAAAGGGGATGAGGCAGGACTTTGGGTGCTTGGGAGGAGGAGGATTTCCCTTGACCTTTAGAGAATCTTTGTTTCCTTTCACACAGGGAAAGGAGCATGAATGAGCAGAAGAGTTGCTGTCCTGATAAAGTGAAAAAGGAAGCGTACACAGATGGAGAGAGTTAGAGTGGACTCATTGTCCTAAAACGCTCACCCATGTTCCAGGTCAGGACCCCAGCAGACAGATGCTTTTCTAGTGCAGATTTTTACAACCAGCTCAATTTAGGAGATGTGACAGTGACACAAAAATTTATCCTTCTGCCATCATCCGGAAGCTTGGGTTGCTTAAGACAGAATATTTGGTGACTTATTGGTGTGACTTGACCATTTCTTTTGAAGGAATTTCAGGGATAATAAGACATGCCTCCAAGATTTTTATGACACAGATGTTTTTCAGTGTGAAGAAAGGATTTTAAACCAAATTGTGACGCAAGAAAGAAGAGCATGAAGAACATGGTGCAGAAGAGGAATTCTCTAAAACAACACAGAGCCCATAGGGAACCCTCCCATGAAGACATTTGGAAAGGTCAGGCTCATAAAGATGGTTGAGTAAAGGGCATAAATGGTAATGGCTGAGCTCAATGAATACTTGTAAAGGAAAGACACCATATTCATGGTCAGAACCAGAAACATAAGCAAGATGACCCAGAACAATGTTTGGTTAAAGTAATGGAACACAAACAGGTAAAAGAGATATGAGAACTTCTCTTTTTTAAAAATTTTTTTGTATTTGGCACAGCATCTCACTATGCAGCTCTGACTCAGTGATCTTCCTGTTTTAGGCCTCCCCAGTACTGGTATTACAGGCTTGCACCACCACACCTGGACTCAGTCACCAGCTCAGTGTACCCCAGGGGTGGGGCCACATGGCATGCTGGACCAGGGATGGAACCCTGATCACTGCACTTGCCAAGGTTGGCCCTTAGTCCACTGAGCTATCTTCTTTTTATGTATCTAGTGCAGGGTCTACAGGGTCTCACCATGTTGATCGGACTCAGTGATTCTCCTGCTTTCAGCTTCCCAAGAACTGGGATTACAGGGGCGCACCACCATGCCCAGCCTAACTGAGCTATCTTGACAGCCCTATCTTTTCCATCCCTTTCTTTCCATTTCTAGAGACAGTGGATATCATACAGGGGGGATTATGGAAGAAACTTTATTGGAAGGAAATTTGATCTGGATAAGTGGAGAGATCTGTCATGTTCCTGGGTCAATGTTAGTAAATGTTTAATTCTTGCAAAGTTTCGTAGAGTTAATATTGTAATTAAAATATCCACAGATGTATGTTTCAAGAAGCATGAATTCTTTATTGTCAAGTGCTGGAAATAATCTTGCACAAAGTAAACTATTGTCCACAAAGTAAACTGGAGTCCATATAACGACGAGAATGCCCAGCTACGTGTTTCAGCGAAGACGAACTTCACAAATGTAATGTGTAAAATAAACCAGACACAAAGTTGTGCACTTTGTATGACACTCTTTGCAGAAGTTCAAATGTAGGCAGTGTGGATTCAGGGTTTTAGGATGGTAGTTAGATAGAGTAAGTATGGGGAGTAAGTATGCAAAGGTTCTTAGGGACTCTTGCTTTACTTTAGCTTTCAGTTGAAGAATTTGATTTTGGGGGCTGGGGATATAGCTCAGCAGCACAAGGTCCTGAGTTCAGTTCTTGGTACCAAATATAAAAAGAAAACATTGAATTTTTTTTAAAAAAACTTGAATATACATCTATAATTTGTATTTGAACACTTTTCTATATATATCCTATAAGTAAATAAGAGCTTTAGATCATTTACAAGAAATGAAACACTTTCATGGGATTTTATTCCAGAAAGCCAAGCCTTCAGAAACTTACTTGGAAGAAGATAAAGTAATTGTATGTGTTAATCAGGATATCTATCTATCTATCATCTATCTATCTATCTATCTATCTATCTATCTATCTATCTATCTATCTATCTATCTATTGTTTATCTATCACCTATCTATTATCTATTATCTATCATCTATCTATTATCTATTTATTATCTATCTATCTATCATTTATCTATCTATCTATCTATCTATCTATTTATCTATCTAGAAGATATTTATTATGAGGAATTGACAATTGGTCATGTGATTATGGAGGCTGACAAGTCCCAAGCTCTGCAGTTGGCAAATTGAAGAGATAGAAAAGCTGGTAGTAAAGATTGGGTCCATGTTCAAAGAAACGAGAACCAGGAAAGCCTGTGGTATAAATACAGCCCCCAAAAGCCAGCAGGCCTGAGGCCCAAGAAGAAGCATTTAGTTTTGAATCCAAGAAAAAGCTGATTTCTAAGCTTGAATGAGGTCAGGCAGCAGCAGTTCCATCCCCCAAGATTTTTATTCCATTCTGATCTTCAAACTGACTGGGTAAGGACCAGCCACACTAGGTAGGCAATCTGCTTCATTCAGTCTATGAATTCAGATATGAATTTTATCCAGAAGTACTCTTGTAGGCATGACCAAAACGATATTGAGCCACACACTGGTATCCTGTGTGACCTAGTCAAGTTGACACAAAGAACTAACTGCTGTGAATCTACCCTTTGTCAGCTTGCCACCCACATTCACCTCCTTAAATCAAACTTAATCTCCAAATAATGACAATGGGATTATAATTCTACCTAAAATGATATAATTATCCTACATATATTGCACATACACATGTAAAACAATAAGGAGGAAATCCACATGGCAAACAGTCTTTTCTGCGGTGGTCACATAATCATACTGCCCAAGCTGTAATCCTTTGCTGTAGCAAGCATCTGAGAGGGTCATGGTATTTTATCTGGTGGGGGCATCTTAAACCTTTATTCCTGAAGGTTCAGCACCATTACTAATTCTTACCTGGACTGAATAGTTACAGTTTTCTATTAACCTTAATGACAAGGATTGGTAATAGGAATGAAACTTCCTAAGGGATTTCCTGTATTTCAAACATACTATGTTGTACTATGTTGTGGAGGATTAGATAAGTCAAGCTTTCCCTCAGGGTGTTAAAATTAGTGATTCAACCAGTATAATTCTCTTCTTTGCCTATTTAAGCCAGAGGCATGGGGAACTGGGGAGCAGGTTTTGCTTCCAGCTCAACAGAATCATTGAGTCTCCTCCTGGAAATATTTTCTCTGAAACCAAAACTTATAGGGCAGCAGAGCACAACAGTATGGTTTGAGCTGGAATACAATGAGAAACAGGAAGTAGAAATTTTGCTAGTGGAGCACTAGATGTAGCAGTTATGCTTCTCCAACTTCTACTCCTCTATTTTTGGATCTATGAATGCTGAACATTGGACCAATGGCACCAGATTCTGAGCATGTCTGACATTCTAGAGAATTCTGTCCTTGTTCTACAAAGTATTTCTACCTAGCTTTATTGTAACTGAGTCCTCAAAAGTCCATTCCACCATTCCATCCATATAGCTTCTTTAGGATGGTAAGAACAGGGAATTTAATGAGTACAAGCCCATTGTTACATTTCATTTTCTATGAAATAAATTCATTCACCAGAAGCAGTGGTATATGGAATACCATGACAGTAGATAAGGAGTCCTGTAAATTTGGCTAGTGGTTTTGGCAGAAGCTTTCCTTGCAGTGAAGGCAATTCCATACCTAGAGTAAAAGCCTTTTACAATTTGAATAAAACTGTTCTTCCAAGGACAGAAGTTGTCCACTGCTTCAACTTGTTACCAGATAACTGGCCAGTCACCCTGAGGACTGGTGCCATATTGAGCTCTCAGTGTCAGTCTCTGTGGCTGACAGCTTGGGCCCTCAGCAGTGGCTGTAGCTGTCAGTTGGTTTATGTTGTTGATACCTCAAATAAATTCTACGCCTGACACCATGGCCACTTTGTTCATGTATCCACTTTGTCACAATGAAATGTCTTGGAAAAGAAGCTGCCTGCTATCCACACAATGGGACATAATCATGTGGCCAGCTAGTTTTCCTTCAAAGCAGTGTGAAACAACTGACCTTTTACGCCGCTCAGAGTTCTGCCCACTATGAGGACATCCCTTCACCACTAATGTTCAGAGATGTCCCAGAAAGGAACTATTCCTTATGGATCTTATAGTCAGAGATGAAGGAAAAGGTATTTGCCTTATCAACTGAATACCAGATGCCAACTGATGGGTTAGTTTTCTCAAGCAATGCAACTGTTTCTGGGACAGGAGCTGGAATTAGTGTCATCCTCACAGTAAGAATTCACTGTCATTCTCCAAGATCTAGTTGTTGTTGTTTTTTTCTTTTCTTCTCTGCAGACCACTAGGAGAGTTGCATGGAGATGTGCTGGGAACCACCACTGCTACATCCTTCAGGTTCTTGATGGTGGCACTGTGCCTACATTCACTCTAGCATGCAATTTTGCTTTTGCTTTGCCATTTTCCTAGGCAGATTCTTCTAACAGCTTCCACTTGACCTTGACCACATAATGACCCCGAATCCACTGGTCAGGGAGCCACTATGGGGATTCTACAAGATCCTGAGAGTGCATGTAGAAATGATATAATTGGAGGTTGGAAAATAACCACCACATGGACTTGGGGATCTACAAAGTCTGCTGTGTGGTGGAGCTAAGATAGAACTGTGAGGATTATGTGACATTGCTAAGCCCCTACTCTAACTGATGAGCCACAGTGACATGTTGGGTCTCTTGGACTCAGTGTCAGGTCAGAGTCACAAACACTGTTTATTTTTCTCCCAAAGCACAGGTACACTGGAAAAGGCTATGTGTCCCTTGCAGGAAGTGAGAGTAAGAGCACAAATGTTTGGCAGCATAGCAGCACCTTTTCTCAAGAGTTGGTCTTCTCTTCATTGGGGCATTCTGGGTCTGTAACCAGGCTCCAGCTCAGCAGTTGGTTGAGTGGCCAGACACTCAGCTTTTTCTTGTTGCCCAAGTCTGCCTCTTTCTTATTCACTGACTACAGTGTTTCTACTTAGACAGATCAAGTAAGGATTAATAAGATTTCCAATCTCTTTAACTTCTAGTAACACCATGCTCAGCTAGGCAGAAGTCAGAAGTTCTGTGTAAGTGAGACTATTCTGACTGATGCATGGACTCTGTTGGGTATCATGGTGACCAGGTCCATTGTGCCCTTCATGGTTAAATATCAACACTTGGCCTTTGTCACCCAGGATTCAATTAATCCCATTGCATTTAGGTTCCCAATTCCGTGGCTTGGCTGAAGGTCCCTTGGCTGATGGAGAACATTTAGAGTTCCTCATGGATGCTAGAGAAGACTCTTCCCAAGTTTCTTTCTTAATAGTTGCAAGGGTATGTCTTTTGGACCATCCTAGAGTGGGTGGCCAGCTCTTAAATGATGAATCAACTCTAATATTACATGGGCTTTTGAAGCCCATAGATTCCTTTCTTTGCATAGACTAAGGCAGGTCCAACATTTCTTTTTCATCCTATTTCAGCCAGCCAACCAGCTGTTGGAGCCCTTTGTGACTCCCTGAGATACAAAATTGAACATTTTGAGAATATCTGCTTAGTGAGACATACCAGTTGATTTTGTTTGACACAAATTTATGTCCCTTCTATCACCCTTAAAGTCTCTTCCTATACATGTGCCCTGGATTTCCCTTGTACAGATTAGAAAACCCAAATGATTGCTATAGAGTATAGCATAGTTCTTCTTGGGTCATACTCTGTACCTCACTTTTACAGACTTGCTGGGGCTTGTGTCTAGTTATAGACCTAGAGAGAGGACCCTGAGAGAACCAGCACGATCTGTGTGACAG